CACGTCTTGATTTTCCCATTATAAATTCCCTGGTTTGTCCTATTTAATGCTTTGGCTTTTAATTCTGTTTGTGGATACATGTGACTGGCATATTTTTTCATGTTTTTATCTTTGTGTCATTTTGTTTTATATGTGTCTTTGTAGTAGTAGATAAATGGATTTTGTATTATCTGATTTTCGGCAGTATAATTGACATGTAACATCATATTAGTTTCAGGTGTACATTTTGTTTATTTTGCAAAATGATCACCGCAATGTCTAGTAAAGATCTGTCATCGTACATACTTTGAAAATATTTTTTCTTGTGATGAGAACTTGCAAGATCTGTTCTCTTAGCAAGTTTCAAATACACAATACAGTATTATTTACTATAGTTACCGTGCTGTAAATTTTATCCATGGGTTATTTATTTTATAACTAGAAATTTGTATCTTTTAACCCCCTTCATCCATTTTGCCCCTCCCATCCCTGACTCTGTCAACCACCAATCTGTTCTGTGTATCTGTGTCTCTTGAATTAAGTAGAGTCAAAAGTCATAGATAATTTTGGATTTGACACCAAAAGCAAAGGCAGCAAAAGCCAAAATAAACAAGTGGGATGATATCAAACTAAAAAGCTTCTGCACATAATGAAAACCAACAACAAAATGAAACAGTAACCTACTGAAGGGGAAAAAGTATTTGCAAATCAGATATCTGATAAGGGACTAATATCTTAAATACATAAAGAACTCATACAACTCAATAGCCAAAAAACAAAAACAGTTCAATTATAGAATGGACAGAGGATCTGAATAGACATTTTCCCAAAGAAGACATACAGATGGCCAACAGGTACGTGAAAAGGTGCTCAACATTACTAATCATCAGGGAAATGCAAATGAAAATCACAGTGAGATCTCACCTCTTACCTGTTAGAATGGCTGTTATCATAAAGACAAGAACTAACAACTGTTGGCAAGGATGTAGAGAAAGCTTTATACGCTTCTGGTGGGAACGTAAATTGGTACAGCCACTATGGAAAACAGTATGGAAGTTCCTTAAAAAATTAAAAATAGAACAACCACCCTGGCCAGTTTGGCTCACTGGTTAGAGCGTCAGCCCATAGACCAAAGGATCTCAGGTTTGATTCCAGTCAAGGGCACGTACCTGGGTTGCAGGTTTGATCCCCAGCTTGGTCGGGGCAGATGCAGGAGGCAACCAGTAGATGTGTCTCTCTCACATTGATGTTTCTCTCTCTCTCTCTCTGAAAGAGGTTAATAACAGCATTTGGATGTAATCCAAGTTATTCAGAAATAACTTACATTTTCTCAGCCCCTGTCCTTACATAGGGATCATCATAGATTTTATTTCTAACGTGTCATTCATTCTCTTCACATTGTGTAACAGTATTTATTTGAACTCTTACATTTTGCTGTCTGCTTACCATTATTTATAATATTCATCTTTCTCTTTTATGGATTCCACTTTGGTGGAGTGTATCCTGCAAGAATTCTTATAGAAAGCATGTGTAATACAATTTTTAAGACCTTCAGTGTCTGAAATGACTACTTTTTCTTTCCAGGGGGTCCATTTTGATTTTAAGCTTCCTACTGAGGTGGTGTTTTTTGGGGGATTTTGTTGTTTTGTTGTTTGTTTGTTTGTTTTGCTATTCTGAATAATTGTATTTTAAAATATCCTGGGTCTCTAGTTTTTGTTTTAGATAGTATATACATTCAAAATCTGAGTATATTGATGACAGTATTACCTTAATATCTTCTACTGTTCATACAAGCCTTCCTACCCTACTTCAGCCACATGCATGCCATTTCATCTGCTTTGTTGATTGCAGTTCTGCATGGGATGTATTTAGGGCAAAAGGCTTCACCCCTTCAAGTAAAGGTGCAGTCTTCCTCCCCCTCCCTGGGAAGTATTGGAGAAACTACCTCAGTCTCCCTACTGGTCCTCAGCTTTAGATACTTTTTTTTTAGCCCCTTCATTTTACACAGATCAAATAATTCTAGGGTGTCAGAGCTCAAAGGACCTGGCGTTCCAGGAGCCCTGTCCCTCTTTTATTATGTGAGTCAGACAAGGCTCACAGGAATGAGCAAGAACAGCCAGGAGCTGCTCTTTGTCTGGGGCACATCTCAGGTCCTTGTGTCCACCAGGCTTTGCCCCTCTGACATGCTGAGTGGCTCCGGAGGGTGTGCAGGGATGATGACGGGCTGAGGGGAAAGGTCACTTTCGCGGGCGCCATCTAAAGGTGCCTGCCCGAGCGGTGGTTCCTGGTGCTCTGATAGCTCATCCCATGGCTTTCCTTGCCACTCACACACTGGTGACTGCCGCCTCTGTAAGTCCTGCCCTTCTTCTCAGTCTCTGGCTTAAGCCTCCAGATGCCTAGTTGAAGTCCACATAGGTGTCTGAGAGGTTCTGAAGCCTGTGTCAAGAACTGAGCCCCTCAAACCCTGTTTTCACCCAGTCTTCCCCCTTTCTCTCTATTAGAGCAGCATTCATTTGGCTCAGGCCCAAAACGGCCATTGTCCTCAGTGATGTTCTCTCTCTCAGCCCCTTACTTCCGCTCAGTTCCCCCCAGAAAGCCCTGCTCCTGTTGGCTCTGTCTTAGAAAGTGGCCTGTGAAGGGCCAGCTCTCACAGCACCCCGCCCCCGGGTCCAGCCCTCCGTCACATCTTGCTGGATTATTGCACTAACCTCCTCTTAACTGGTGTCTCCGTATCCACTCTTGGCCTGTGTTTTCCCAACATTCAGGGTAAACTTTGCAAATATCTTTCAGATCATGCGACTCTTGCCCAAACTCTCCAGTGGCCCCTGTCTTGTTTGGAATGAAGTAAGCCTTTCCCTGTTGCAGCAGGCCCCAGACCTCCCCGCCTCCTCTTCCCCCTCCACTCCCCCCTCCCCTTGCACACCCCCGTTCCCTGTGTTCCCTCTGCTGGGAATGCTTTTCCCCTACACATTGCTCTCTCCCTGCCATGACTTAGTCACTGCTCAGATATTATCTTCCCTGCCCAAAATGACACCAGCTTCCGCCAGTTACCTCCAACTGGCCACAAAGTTCTTTCTAGTATGTACTCACCTCCACTAGAAATTGTATTATCCATGCATTGTTTACCTGTCTCCCTAGTAGATCATAAGTCATTATTACCTGTAGCAGCTGCCCCACTGCCTCCAGGGAGAGGGAAAGTGGGGTCTGGTCAGAGAGGAGAGTGAGCTGAGAGGATTTTGCTTCATTCACCCCCAATCCAGTGTCTCTAACACTGCCCGGCATATAACAGGCTCTCAGATATTTCTTTTTTTTTTTTTATCCTCACCTGAGGACATTTTTCTATTTTTTGTTCAGATAGAGTGGGAGGGGGAGAGAGGAAGAGAGAGAAACATCGATGTGAAGGGACACATCGAGTGGCTGCCACCCGCACGACCAACCAGGGCCGGGGACAAACTGCAACCGAAGCACGTGCCCTTAGTGGAAACCGAACCCGGGTCTCTCCGGACCGCAGGCGGACGCTCTAACCGCTGAGCCAAACCTGCCAGGGCTCAGATATTTCTTGAATGAATAAATGGATAAACAAAATTGGATAGACTTTTCATTCATTTATTCATTCAACTATTTGGGTACTGGTTGTGCCAGTAGATGGAAGATTCACGCAGACCAGGTCCCTGCCTCTGGATGCTGACAGTTAATCTGGGGGCCGATTAAACAGGTGCAAGAATAGTGCCAAGAAGGGTCTGTGTAGGGGTGGGGGTCATGGGGGCTCAGACAGCAGAATGCTGTGGGTCAGAGTCAGCTGCCAAGGCGAGGGGAGCCGGAGAGAAGGTGGGTTTGGGGGGGAAGGAGTCCCAGGCCCAACATGCGGAGAGGGCACCAGGTGGGGGTGACAGGCTCACAGTGGACACTCTTACAGGGCTGCTTTGTGCCAGGCATGGCTCTGAGGGCCTTAGTTTATTAACTTGAACCAGCCCTGAGGATCTCCGTGTCAGGAAACCGAGACACAGAGGAGTGCGCTTGCCCAGGGTCACACTGTGGGGATGAGGAGCCAGACTCAGCCTCTGTAACCAGCTCCAGCTCTCTAACCGGCCTCTGCACTGCCTCCAGGGAGAGGAAAGTCGGGTCTGGCAGAGGGGAGTGAGCTGGGAGGAGGGGAGGGGCTAATGGTGAGTGGGGGCTTGCAGGACGCTGAGGGGTTCAGGCTTTATGCCACCCATAGGGCTTGGGCCTGAGGAGGTCAGGCTTGCACTTCTCCTGGGAGGAGGCAGCCCCGCCCCAGCTGTGACCGTGACCTCACTGGCACAGGCCGGGGTGAGCATTTTCTCTCAGAAGGAGACCAGGTCTAGGAGTCCATGGGTGGGGTGATGCGAGGGGATGGTTGGGGAGGGGAGGCTCTTTGCTGAGATGGTTCTTCCAGCTCCCCCCACCCCTGCTTCCAGCCCCAGCTCCCCTTCCCACCACCCCTGTAACATCCTCATCCTAGGAGGCGAGTGGCCCTGGCTCTCGAGGGGCCACTTGAGATAGCTGTCCACATGGGCTGAGGAGCCTCCTAACCTGGATGGCCTCTTCAGGGCTTTCCCCGATCATGTCCACAATCTGTCCTTGGGGCTGCCAGGCAGATGCTGCCTGCACTTAGGGAGGACGGAAGGAGGCTCAATGTGGGGTGCCTTCCCGGAGAGGCCGTTTGGAAGGGCTGCAGCAGGGGTCTGAGCCAGGTCTGAGCACTCTCCACAGGGACTTTGAAGCGGAGTTGATGACAGACTTCATGAGCCCTTTGTGTAGACGGAGAACTAAAGTCCAGGGTTGGGATCAGTGGGTCCACAAATAAGTCAGTTACAGCATCACACTGAGGTGTCTGAGGCACCTCCAAATCCCCCAGCACAATCCAGGGACCTTGTGTGGCTTTCACGGGGACAGTTTGGATTGAGCCACTGAGGGGACAGCAGCAGCATGGGGATCTGCAGGCCAAGGGGGGTTTGAGGGGGCTGGTGACAGCCCTGACTGGCCCCATCCCACCCCAGTTCTGGACACAGCCGGGCAGGAGGAGTTCAGCGCCATGCGGGAGCAGTACATGCGCACGGGGGATGGCTTCCTCATCGTCTACTCCGTCACAGACAAGGCCAGCTTCGAGCACGTGGACCGCTTCCACCAGCTCATCCTGCGCGTCAAGGACAGGTGAGCACGGCGGGGCCAGCTCCCCACTGCCGCCTGAGAGCAGCCTCTGTCTGTCTGTCTGTCTGAATCTCTCGCTCAGATTTTCAGGTGTGAGCTGAGGCACAGAGGGCAGAGCTGAACTCAGCCCCTGGTCCCTCTGACTCCTGCCCTAGTTCTTTATACAGGGTCAAGCTGCTTCCAAGGCGCTGGGGATCAGCTCCCTCCCATCTCTCCTGAACTGTCCCCAGCGATTCATCGAGGAGTCATAAATAACAGCTCCATTTCTCAGCTCCGATTTAACCAATTTTTTATTACAAAGAAAAAGTGAATGTTTTTTCAGTATATATTATAATTGGTTAAATTGCATTTGAATGTAAACCCCCAGTTAAAGGCTCATTTTTTTTTCTTAGTATCACATGGAGTAATTAAACAACTTGGAGTCTGTTGTAAGCCTGTTTTTTCTCAGTTGATTATATCTTAAAGAGGAAATGTAAAGAAAGTAGAAGGGCAAACTTTGAGCAAATCTCAGTAAATTCCAAAAATTCGGTTAACACCTATTCCAAAAGCCAAATGTTAATAACTTTAGGAGGCAAAGGGACACCCAGCTCTCTCTCTCTCATACACACACACACTCGCTCACTCACACTCACACAAAGTTCTAAAAGAGAAATGTGGGTTGAGCCCTGACTATAGGAATCTCAAAAGAGAAAACAAATGACTCAGAGGTGGGCAAATACTCCACCTTGTAGCTAACCAAAGGAGCGCAAGGAAAAGTGATCAAGTACCGTGTTCACCGGTCCGATGATACTTTTCTCAATAAAAACAGCCGGTGCTGACAGAGCTGCTGTGAGACTGGCGTTGTCTTCACTTTGGGCGGCAGTTTGGCCACATGTCAGTGGGAATCTCTAAGGCAGACGTGCCTCTTGATCCGACCTTTTTTCTCCTGGGAGTCAACCTGATTTGGCAGCTGCCCAATTCATTGAGTGCCAACCGTGACACACCCTGGCCCTGGTGCTCTTCACGAGTCATTGCGGATGGCCACAGCAGCCCCTCACTGACAGTGCGAAGCCAGGGGGTTCCCTGGAGGGCCCCTCGTCCACCTTGCAACAGGCCTAAGCCTTCAAACCAAGACAGCCAGCAGCCTTCAGGCCTTTTTCCCTTCCTGGAGATGGGGAGGAAAGGACTCAAGTCAGCCCCAGGTCCCTAGGGAGGTGCTGCTGCTGTGTTATGCCCCCTGCGGTGTGGCTGCGCCACCTCTATGGGGGTGGGAGCGAAACCTCACCCACTGCTGTTCCTTTGTTTCCCAGGGAGTCATTCCCAATGATCCTCGTGGCCAACAAGGTCGATTTGATGCATTTGAGGAAAATCACCAGGGAGCAAGGAAAAGAAATGGCGACCAAACACAACGTAAGTGTGTGTGTGTGTGTGTGTGTTGGGGGGCTCCAGGTGGTACACAAAAGTAAATACCCATCACTCCTGCAGCCCTGGTCTGTGTGAATGGAACTCAGCCTTGTAGGTAGTGGGCCAGGTTCCCCGGAGAGGTTTAGTGGACACATACGATGTGGGATATTTTATAAAACAAAACAACAGACCAGAAAGAAAGCACCCTCTTGTCAGTCCCTTCACAGTGGGCGGCAAGCTGCGGTGCACAGCCCCCTGGCCCCGGCACAGCAGGTTCCTCTCTGGGGTGTGCAGCGTTGGCTCTGCCCTGCCTCCCCTTACGCTCAGGTCCGCGGCTGTTCATGGAGCCCTGCTCTGTGCCAGGCTTGTGCTGGGGAAGCCCTCCTACATCCACACGTCGAGGTAGATTCAGTTCTCTCCATCTGACAAGTACTCAAACCGAGGTTTGCCCAGGCCAGTGTCAGCCAAGTTTGTTTAGTTCCCAGTGCCGCCCCTTCGCCGTCTGGATGGTGCTGGGTGGGGTCACTGGACTTCTTCCCATCTCCCCCTGCATGGCACCCAAGCCCTTGGCCCCCTTGGTCAGTCATGTAGAAGTCCCCCTGCCTGCTAGGAAGTCTGCGAGGTCGGCCTGCCCCCTGCCCTGTGGGCCCAGCTCTGTGAGTGGGGGAAGGGGACTTCCCTCGAGGTGGTTCTGCTGGTCTCTGCCTGTGTTCATGTGCATATTCCTTCAACACTCCTAAGCCCTGGGAAACACCGTCCTTCTTCCAGTGACAGGAGACAGGCAAAGCAGGTTAGAGTGTGTCAGAAGGTCACATGTGCTGTGGAACAAAGTAAATCAGGGAAGAGGGTTGGGAATGTGGGGTGCAGGGGTGCTTTTCCAAAGAGGGTGGTCAGGGAAGGCCTTGCTGGGAAGGGCGCATAGCAGCAATTCATAGGAGACAAGGAAAAGAAATGGCGACCAAACACTGTGTGTGTGTGTGTTTTGGGGGCACCAGGTGGTGTACACAAGTAAATACCCATCACTCCTGGGGCGAAGGGGAGGCAGGACAGAGCCAGTGCTGCACAGCCCAGCATTGCTGTTCATAGGAGACAAGGAAGAGGCGTGTCGGGAGAACAGTCCAGTGGAGGGAGTGATCCTGCAGAGGTGCCGAGACCGGAGTTTGAGGAACAGCACGAGGCCTGTGCGGCTGGAGCAGGAGCAGGCGTGTGGGTGGCAGTGGGAGGTCAGAGAGGTGGTCTAGGGCCTTGCCGACTTTCACTCAGAATGAGGGGGAACCTTTGGAGGTTCTGAGTGAGGAGCGACGTGCTCTGACGTGGCTGATAGCTGCGCTCTGGTGGCCGTGTTGAGAATGGTCTGTGGGCACAAGCGCAGAGCCGCTGCAATAACCGGGGTACAGGCTGGCATGGACCAGTGTGGCACCCACAAAGGTGGCGAGATGTGGTTGCATCCTGGATGTATTTCTAAGAACCAACAGAACTGGTTCACAGGTTGGATGTGGGGTGAGAGAGAAGGAAAGGAATTGGGGGTGACTCCAATGGGGCATGAGTCATGTTCACAAAACTGGAGTACGGTGACTGGGCGGCGAGACTGTAGGAGCAAGTGCGTGGGGAGAGTGGGAGCTTGGGTTTAGACCTCTTCAGCGTGAGTGGCCCAGTGACAGTCCAGGGCAGATGACCGAGGCTGGGACGCCTCAGTGTTATGAGGAAGCAGCAGCAGAAGGGGCTGAGCGATCGGTGACCAGAGTGTGACGTCATGGGGCCAGGTCAAGAAAATTCCTCAGAGAGGAGGGAGGACCAGCCAAGAGGGTGCTGCTCAGAAGTCTCTAGATGAGGCGTGGGGACTGACCACTGAATTTAGCATTAGACACAGGCCTCCTCCACTGGCCCAACATCCTGAGCAGAGAGAGGTCTATGGGGCCATTCCCACTTCATGTCCTGAGCTTCACACGGTGGCCTGAAGAGGGTTTGCTAAGGGCTTTCACAAACACCTGTGTCCCTCCCAGCAGCCCTGGGGGGAGGGCGGGGATGGGGAAAGGCTGCTCAGGGGAAGCACTAGCCCCTTCTGCAAATCCAAGTGAATGAGACAGGTGGCTAGGTGGCCTCCGGGGGCCTCAAACGCCGGTGAGTAGCTCCCCCTCCCCTGAACCCAGGTCTTCAGGCTCAGCCATGTGTCTCCTAAAACCTGTGCCACCTCCTCATTTATCATTTGACCAAATACTCTGGGAGCTACTATCAACAACATCCTAATTTTAGAGCGCATAGGCCAGTTCCCTTTTTTTATTTTAATTTTTTTTCTTTATTGATATTAGAGAGAGGAAGAAAGAGAGAGAAACATCAATGAGAGAGAACATCGATTGGCTGCCTCCTGCATGGCCCCTACTGGGGATCAGGCCCACAACCTGGGCATGTGCCCTGGTTGGGAATGGAAACGGTGACCTCTTAGTACATGGGTCGACGCTCAACCACGGAGCCACACGGGCCGGCCAGGCGGGCCAGTTCCTTTTTAGCCCACCAAGGCAGGCGGCCCCACCCAGTGCAGGGAGGTGGCATGTCCCAGCCCTTCGGTGGAGTCAGATGGTCCTACTGTTTACTGCAAGATTTCCTTTAGTTTAGGTCTTGTTGCTAACCAAATCCTTAGGGTCCTAAGATCCCAGATACTGCACATCAGTGCTTCTTCAGAAGTAGAGGCAGGACTCCTGAAAGAAGGTGGAGGGGACCTGGGGGATACACAACTCATGTACTTCTGAGTGATGCAGTAGCACAGGCAGCAGTGGCCTGAGGCCCTGGAACCCGGGACTACTGAGCTGGCAGAACTCTAGGACATGAAGGGCTCCCCAGGCAGGTCCCAGCCCTGCAGCAGGGGCCTTCCCGATCCCCTCTGCGTGTGCTCAGGGAAGTGCGCTGTCCTGTCCTACAAGGTCACATAGGACTCTGATACCAGGTGTACTGGGGCACCTGCCACACCTGGAAGAAGCTGCAAAGCTGACCTCAGCATCCCCACCTGTGCAGGGGAGGCCAGGCGGGAAGTGGAACACGAACCTGGTTCAAACCTTGATTCTCTGCTGTGTGGCCTTGGGCACGTATGTCAGCACTTTAAGCTCGGTTTTTCCGGCTTCAAAATGGAGATACTGGCTTACCTCTAGGGTGAAGGTAAGAATATGGATTACGGGAGGTCAGGGATGTTGAGGCCTACCTGGGAGACCAAACAGCCACAGTCATCTCTGTGACCATCTATGACCTGATAGCCTCTAATGGAGGGTGGTTTCCTTTCAGCGTTATCAGAGGCTCAAGTATTTGTCAAACGAGTATTTCAAAGGCCGGAGCCCTGCCCTCTGTGCTCTGACCTTTGCGTCTGATCAGCTACCAGACCCTCCTGCCCTGAAGCCCAGCGATGTGTGAGCACCGGCCCACTTCCGATGATCACTGATGGAAGGACTCTCTGTGACGGGTTCTGGGCAATGGTTTATAGCCTCCTCCTCTAAAATAACAATGTACTGTCCCCACCACATGTTGAAAGTGCTGATCATTTTTATTCTATTCACTGTGCTTCTCCTCTTCAAAGGTGTTATAATGAAGTGCCTTAATTTTGTCGTGAGGAAAAAGTTACCAAAAATACCCAAGTTCCTGAGTCCAGTCACACTGGGCTTATCCCCATCTCATCTAGGGGACCCCATGAATGTTGTGTGAACCCCACATGCTCTTCTTGGGGGGCAATGGGTGTGGCCCTTCCTGACTTTGTGGGGGTCTCTGTGATAGGATTGGACAAGCACTCAGGATTGTACCCTGACCTCATGGAGCCTTTGTTTTCATCCCGGTGCCATGCTTGGCGTGGACATGGCCCTCACGGCCTGTCCTACAGGGTCACCGCGGTCACATCTCCCGGTGTGCGCTGCCTTCCAGCCGGTGCTAGTTACTGTGCATTAAACACGCAGACACAAGCTCTGGAAACGCAGCTGAGCTCAGAGCTCAAGGTGCAGACCAGACAAGAACAGCCATGTTGGGGTGGGGGGCGCAGACCGGCCAGGGGTTGCCAGGGGAACAGTCCTGGCCGTGACACAGCCTCACCTCTCTGGAGCCTGGGAAGAGGGGCAGAAGTCCCCAAGGTGGAGAAATAGACCTCAGAAAGAAAAATGAGTAGAATTGGAACGTATTTTAGTCTGATAAATGAACGTCTTTAGTCTTCAAGTATATAAAAAGATCATTTGAAATCTATTTTCAGGGAGCTATTAAATATCTCTGTGGCTAGAGAACAAAGGGAATTGGAAAAACTGTCAGTAAATCTTTCTGACCTTAAAGAGTGAGAAGCCACCAAGGACGCTTGGGGATGTTGGAGCCAGGGTTGGGGGGGGGGGTTGCTTTAAAAGCACCCGCTTCCTCAGGACCACTGAGAATTTGCATTTTGGAGGAACAAGTCTTGGTGGATCTCAGTGCCCCTTTTACCAAAAGTGCTCTTTGCTTTCCAGATTCCATACATAGAAACTAGTGCCAAGGACCCACCTCTCAATGTGGACAGAGCCTTCCATGACCTGGTGAGAGTGATTAGGTGAGCACACCGCCTGGGAACGGGCTCTGAGCAAGGTGGGCTTCCGGGGCTGGGGGAACGGCCTCTTGAGCTGAGGCTGGGCGCTTCTGGGCCTATTTTCAGATTTCTTCACCCCTCCCCTCTTCCCACCTCCCTTTGCCCCCCACTGCCTGTGAGTGAAGCCTCACTAGCTAAAGGGAAGTGCCTGTGCCTGAGGCAGCAGCTCAGCCTCCTCTCCGGCTTGGCCTCCTGCCGCAGCTCCCTCCATCCTGCCCTCCCTGTCCCCTCAACACCGCAGCTGCCCTTTGACATTTCACCTGGACGACCAACATTCTGACTCCCAGGCTCAAATCTCAGAGATGTTAGCATGTGTCCCTTTGCACACCCCACACAAGCCCGTCTGCAGGACTGTCAGAAATCCCAGTCAGCAGTCACTCATACACTCCTCTGCATGGTCAGGATTCAAACCTTAATTACCTGGTGCTTAAGGGACTGAAACAGCCTCCCGGCTGGTCTCCCTGTCACCCACCTTTCCCATTTCCAGAATCTTCAGCGTACAGGGCAGCCTAGCCAGTGGTTCTCAGACACCAGCATGTAGCATTGAGCAGCTTGAAGGCTGCTGGTTAGTTGTGAAATGACAGACAGGCTCTAGCAGTTTCCTTTCTGGCCCGCCACCCCCAGCCCTCCCTTGCAGCGAACAGGCATGCACACACACTCCACGGCCTCCCGGCGGACTGGACACTGCAGCCTGCATCTCATGCACTCTTGAAATTATTTTTCTCGTCGGCATTTTGCCTTCAGGCAGGATATGTGATCACAGGAGGTGGCAAATTCTTGGTTACAGATCTGTAGTTCCAAGGACAGTTTTAGACATAGGAAAAAGTAACAGAAAATATGTATAAAGATTTTGTACTCGGTTGACCTGTCATTTTATTTAAAATATGAAACATGGAAATTGAGGCCAATGCTATAGAACACATAACAGAGATATGATTTAAATCAATATAGCCCCAGCTTGATAGCAGGCCTTCTCACCAGCAGGCTGGCAGGGTTTGCCCTCTCCCCCTCCCTGCCTTCCTTGCCACAGACACTGTCCAGGCTGTGCCCTCCTCCAGCACCTAGGACAGCAGCCTCTCTGCTCCCCAGGCCTCCCCGCCTCAGACCCCAGGGCGAGGGAGGAAAGGGACAGGGAGAAGCAAAGCCCATCCTGACTTTGATTGTCTGCCCTTCATTGTCTCAAAAGGCAACAGATTCCGGAAAAAAGACAGAAGAAGAAGAAGAAAACCAAATGGCGGGGAGACCGGGCCACTGGCACCCATAAACTTCAGTGTGTGATATTATGATGGGCCTGAAGCCCAGGGCACAGTGACAGTGAGCTGGCCAGCCCTCGGGACCCCTCCACTGCCTAACCTCACTGAAAACCATTTCTAACCATAACCCTTGACCTGAGGACTTGGCACAGGAAGGGAGAAAGGGAGGGTGGGCAGGGAGGAAATGGGGTCCGGCTTCCCTGAAAGGGCACAGGTTTTTCCATGTCTCACAAGACACAAGGAAGCAACGCTACACAGAAGTAGCATCAAAGCCCCTCGTGTCGATTCCTCCCGGTTCCTCCCTGTTTCTTGGCTGTGTTGTTTCTTTGAACCAGTGTCGGTCCGATGTGGAAGTGTTTATCCACCATGTGCAGAGTACAAAACAAGCCATGACCCAGCTCCCCCTTGTCTCCAGTCCTCGGTGTCCGAGCCTGGGTGTTTTTTGTAGATTTTTAAAATTATTTTAGTGATTATTGTCTCAAGGGGGTCTGCTCACTGCCTGGTGAAGTTTCAAGTCTGCGGCAGGTCTCTCTGACAACGTGTCTGGAATATCACCGTTGTTGTTTTTACCTGAGTCTTCCCAGCAGTGCCAGGCTCACTATGAACGTAGAACGAGTGAGAGGCCGGAAGTTCACAGGGACCCAAGCTGGAGGCCTCAGGGGAAGCAGGCCCTGCTCACGGCCTGGAAACTGGAGAGACAAGATGTGTTTACCTGGAGGGTTTGACTGCAGATACTGGGAAACAGAATTCGATTCTGCAGGGAGGAGAGGCTGGCAAGAGCATGTCAGTTCCAAAGGGCTTCATTATCCTGGAAATGTATAAACTGAAGTAAGCAGATCTGCCCAGTGTTCCTGTCTTTCTCAGTCAGCGTGGGTTCAGTTCTGTTCTTCCCGCCGGCAACAGGGCCGCCGGGCTGCCGGCGCCTCTCCGACAGACACTGACAGGCCTGCAGCCTCCACATCAGAGTGAGCTGATGTGGCTGCCATCCAGGACATTCTAGTTCGTGCTGAATCTTAACCAAAAGTGATCGGTGCTGTTATTACTAAAACAGCGCCAAGACCTGAAACCATTTTTCCTCTGAATCAACTGACAACCACTTCTGAAGCCCAGTAAATCATTTGCAAACTTAGTATTAGGTTGCCTCTCTGGAACATACTTTTATTAACCTTTCAGATCTTAACTATAATATACGATCAGAGGAAAAAGGAAGCTTGAGGTGATCACATTGCTCCCATACACCTGTTTCTACAAGGGGACAGTCCCCCAACTCCCTGATGGCGTCCACCTCCTCGGGTGCTGCTGATGAGAGCCAAAGACTGGATTTGGGGGCTGGGGTGGGGGTGGAGGGGCAGCAGGAACAGCAGTGCACCCCAAGAGGAAGTCAGAAGATGAGGTGGTACAGCTGGTGACCTTATTTTCCAAGTGTTACCAATCAGGTCACTAGGCAAATGAGAACATTGCTGGCAGGTGGCCTAGCCACTGTTTGGAGAAAGAAGCCCGAGGAAAGTGAGTGCCCAGCTGGACGTCGGGACATCGGGACATCGGGATCCTTCTCCAGTTTGGAAAGCGGCTGAGTCCCTAACTCGGCAGGATCTCCAGCACGGAGGGGCCAGCCAAGGAGTGATTCTGCCTCAGAACGAAACAGTTGAGACTTCTGTTAGTTGGAAATCAAACTTTCCTATTTGTCTAAATAGCCCTTTTTCTCTGACCCTAGAAGGAAGGATAACAACATTCCAGACCAGGCACCTCACAGCTTCCCAAGATCCTAAAATGTTAATGAATGGGCATCTAAACACTGGCAGGTCAAGGCTCTTACAACCCTCACACTCCTCTGAGCCAGCAGCTGTCTGCAGCCTGAAGGCAGCTGCAGATGGGTGAGGAAGAGGCAGGCAGGTGGGAAGAAGTCAGGATGGAGGTGCTTTGCGTGGAGGCAGTGGTCGAGTGGGACAGGAGCCCTGCACACAGGGCAGTGTCCACTGTTGGAAACTGTCTACCTGGCCTGGACTGCCACCAGCACACCCTGCCCACGGGGAGCCTGCAACTCCCTGAGCACTGCGTGGAGAGCCTCAGACGCAGATCAGCTGACAGACAAAGCCCTTAGCCATGAAGTTAACCAGACAGAGGGGCTCCAAGCCCTTCTGGTCCCCCACCCCAGACCCCGCACAACAGGGGCAATCATCTGCCCCACCCCTGGCCTGTCTTTCAGAGCATCCATCCTGCACTCGGCCCACAGCTTAACATCACAGTGCCCGAGGGAGCCTGGTCGAGGGATGGCCTCTGCAGACCCTGCTGTGGGGCTGCTGGTCCGCCTTCGTCTCCATGACCTCTTTTTCCTATAGGTGAGATGGGTAAATAACACTTTTATTTTATTGTATTTTCTTTATTAATTTTTAGAGAGAGAGGAAGAGGAAGGAAGCATCGATGAGAGAGAACATTGACTGGCCGCCTCCTGCATGCCCCCCACTTGGCATTTGGCCCACAACCTGCGCATGTGCCCTCACCAGGAATCAAACTGGCAACCTCTTGGTGCATGGGTCGATGCTCAACCACTGAGCCACACCGGCCGGGCTAAATAACTCTTTTAAATATGTTTTAATTGATTTTTTTTTTTTTTTTTAGAGAGAGAGAAACATCAATGTGAGAGAAACATCAATTGGCCGCCTCCTGCCTGCCCCCACTGGGGACTGAGCCCACAACCGGAGCATGTGTCCCGACCAGGAATTGAACCAGGACCTCTCAGTCCATGGGACAGCGCTCAGTCCACTGAGCCACAGCTGCTGGCAGTAAATAACACTTTTTTTAATCCTCACCAAGGACATTTTTCTATTTATCTTCAGATAGAGTGGGAGGGAGAGAGAGAGAAACATCGATGTGAGAGGGACACATTGACTGGTTGCCCTCATGACCTGACCAGGGCCGGGGACGAACCCCAACCAAGGTACATGCCCTTGGCCGGAATCGAACCCAAGACTCATTGGTCTGCGGGCCAATGCTCTACCGCTGAGCCAAACCAGCCAGGGCCATAACACTTTTAAAAGAGAATTCTTTGTGTTTTAAAGAACTATGGGCCTGTGTGGCCGTGAAGGCTTCCAGATAGGCCAGAGTGGATGTACCCTGGAGCATCCCCAGTACATTTTCTCCATGGTCACCTGGCAGGGTCAGTCTGGGAGCCAGCTGGCCATGCTTCTTCATGACTGAGGAGACCAATGGGATGTGTGTCTTTCGTGACATTCCTGTGTTCCCTCTATTTTTCCAGACTACCTGAACAGTACATCCCTGGAGCACACCCTTCCTGAAATCCCCTCACCTCATGCTTTTCCCACTGTGTGCTCTCAGATTTCGGTCTAACATTGACCCCTCCCCCTTCAAGGGCTCCTTTTCTCCCCAGCAGGTAATCCTAGCCATCCTCCCCACCCCCACAGCCTAGGGGCACAGCCACTGAATTCCCCTGCACTTTGCCACACAGGGGAAGTTTGGATGGTTTTTCTTAGGACTTTTGCCCCCCACCTGCCTGTGGCACTTGCTGTGGAGAGTGGTGGTAGCCTAGTGTGGCCTGTCTCACTTTGCTATGAGACGTGACCCACTAATGTGGGCTCTCACGTGTCACGGTAAATCCAGAGCCATGGACAGGCTCCCTCCATTAGCAGCCCACTGGATGAGAAATTCCATGTCGGGTTTACTTAGAAAGATACTTGAATAACGGAGCGCCTGTGAGCGCCCAGCTTCTGTTACACAGTATTAACAGGTGGCCATTGTCGTGAGACGAGAGTGATGCCTGGAGATCTTGATGATGCTTGAGCCTTTTATGTAACTTTTTATTAAGTCTTTGTGTATCTCAGCTCATTAATAAAGAAGAGGAACACTTGTCTGTCTGATTTCCTCTTATTGAAATATCCGTCAGGTTTTGCTGGGAACGTGGTAAGTTGACAGTGTCAGGCTCAGAACACCCATCCCTTACAGGCAAACCTGAGTAAGGAGACCGCTGGGGACCTTGCGAGGTGTCTCTTCCCTGCATGGAGCCAGAGGAGGAAGGCAGGCGAGCGCAGTGTGAGGAGACACCGCCTCTTGATGTTCAGCAGCCCTGGATTCGAGCTCTGCTGTGGACATGTCTGTGTCTTTGAGCAGGTTCCCAGCTTTGGCGTTCAGCTGCCCTGCCCGTGAATGGAGCAGAGTGTGCGCCTCCTAAGTAGATCGAGGGCTGACGCTCAGCCTGGGGAGCTCCTGGCAAGGAGCCCAGAGTGGTGCTCTTTGTAAAGGACACCTGTTGGGTTGTCTGACGTTGCTTTTCATGGAAACTGCCTCCTGCCCCATCCACAAGATTTCAGTCTTTTGTACAATGTGATTTCATTTTCCTATAGATTGAACCTGGTAGGTACTTGACCAAGCTGAGCCTCTCTCTTCTATATTATCAGTTCTCTCTCCACTGGATCTTTCTTACCCTGATACAAACAAGAACAAAACCTTCCTTTGACCCACCGCCTCTGCCAGACACCACCTCTTGCTTGTCTGCTGTCTTTTGCAGGAAGTGAATGTAAAAGAGTAACCTATACTGTCTGTCATGAATTCCTCTCATTCCATTCTCTCTAAACTCCAAAGAGGCTTTCACCCGCCATCCTCCCACCACCCGTTCCCAGGTCCCCCGTGGCTGCCATCGTGCTAAGTTCAGTGGCGGGTCTCAGTCTTCTAGTTGACCTTGCGGCACTGGCACAGGTGATGACTCCCTCATCCTGGTTAAACTTGCTTCCACTGGCTTCTAGGATGCTGCCATCGCTGGTTTCCTCCTTCCTCGTGGTCACTCTCCAGTCTCCTTTGCTAGTTCCTCCTCTTCCACCTAACCTGTTAACTTTGGAGCACCCCAAAGCTCAGTCCTTGATCCTCTCCCTAAACTCCCTCTCATGGTGATCTCCAATCTTGACTTAAATGCCTTTTATGTGCTGGTGACTCCCAAGGGTCTGTCTCCAGCTTGAAACTTCCAAATCCGCCCTGGCTGGTTTGGCTCAGCGGTTGGAACGTCGGCCTGCAGACCAGAGAGTCCGGTTCGGTTCCCACTAGGGGCACGTACCAAAAAAAAAGAAACTCCCAAATCCTACACATACAGCCAACTGCCTACTGACCTCTCCAGCTGGAGGTCTCAGTAGTTTCTCGGAGTTCACACGCCCAACACAGTTCCTGCCCTCACCCTCCCGCGCCCGCTTCACCCGTATCGTCCCCAGTTCACTGCTGGCAGCTCCGTGCTTCCAGTTGCTCAGGCCAAAAGCCTTCGAGTCATCCTTAGTCCCGTCTTTCCTCACACCTCACATCCAGTCTGTCAGCAAGCCCTGCTGACTGTGCTGCAAAATACACCTAGAGTCCACCCATTTCCCATCCCTCCGCTGTTAGCGTTCCAGCCGGGTCACCATCACCCGTGCCCATTCTCTTGACCCTGCACTGCATTCTCAGCACAGCAACCAGAGAAACTTGGGTAAAGTGGAAGTCAGATGTCCCCATTTCAACAGCTCCTCTATCTCATATTTAAGACATGTCAGAGTGAACTGTGCCACTAAACACCTAGTAATGGGTTGGTGTCCGTTACCCACAAGAGAAGGGAAGTCAGATGTGTTCATTCAGACAACAAATAATTTATTGCGCTCTGAGCCACACATTAAAACCCAGTCACTGTGTCATGGGTTTACAGCCTAACAGGGATGATGAACCGCTCTGACCTGAGCACTAAGAGGAATTCCTCAGCTGGGGGAGGAGAGGGGGTCATCATAAACCTCGTAGGTGAAGAGGTTGTTTGCTGACAAGATGAAAATTTCAGGTACATACTGGGCGCATGAATTCTGCTTTTGAAGATTATAGGTTTCACTTTCTAAAGATTCCCAGGTTTATACCAGAATTATTTAAAATAAACCACCTCCATCTCTACATATTTCTGAAGACTCAGTGGATGAAAGTTCCCAGGTGTCTCCGACATCAGCATTGCAGCACCAACATCACTCGGGAGCCCTGTCCCAATCTTCTCAGTCAGAATCTGCATTTTAATGAGAACCCAGGTGACTCAAGTACATAGCGAAGTTTGAGTAGCCCAGCCCTAGAACCTCAACTCAGCATCAGAATGAAACCCAGCCCTGAACTCACTGTGCTTCAGGGCCCAGCTCAACCCTGTGCGACCAGCAGAAGCCTCGTGGGCATTCATCTCAGAGATTCGAGTTCGCTGCTCTGTCTGCAACAGCTGCAAGATTCTGCCTGGCAAGGCTGTGAGCTCGGAGCATCCCCACAGTCAGCACATGGTTCCCTTGACTACGGGAGGTTTTTACACAAAGGCAAGTGGGC